CAATGATGTCACACAAAGGCTGTTACCCCAGGGTTTGAAATACAGGTGCAAATGTACGTTTGTGCAACAAGGTACTTGTCTAGGGTTACACACATAGACGAGTGCTACATATTGCAAATCAGGCATTCAACACTGAGGACAGGAACCTTACATCTTTCCTCCCCTTCCCACTTTCCCCATGTCCCGCCACCTCCATGTAGGTTGTTTACAGGACCCTGCTCACTTGTATGGCACTGTTTACGTGTTACCAGACTGGACAATGGCTAGATTGACCACATACATGTACTGGGCCGGGCAGGCTGTAGGTGAAGCCTCAGAGGAGAGCAGGGGGGTGACAGACAACTGCTGTGTGGTGGAGGGTGTTGTTACCTCCATGAAAAATGGAGGTATGGTTTTAGGTTTTTCTGTGTATTTTGTGTTTATGCAGCTGACAGTTTGCAGCAGAGACCTTGTATTTTTGTAGCTGAAGAGTTTAACAAGGTCAGAAATTTTGTTAATTCATGTATACATTATACAAGCCTTATGATTGATGACAATCTAATCAACATATCTGCATGTATGAATAATCATTTAGCACCATTGGCATTCAGGTATGCGCAATAAAACAGCTCATACCAGTTTGCAGGCTTAAGTATACATAACCTCTACTTCAAAGATATTTTGTTTGTAAACTATGCCATGCATGTGTGTTTCTCTTTCAGCACCAGCTGCATGCTAAATTTTCAGGTTTGATTATTGACAGAAGCAAGAAGGTATGTAGACAAATTTAGGCATATGTTTCAGATGTTGTTTTCTCAGTCACTTCAGTTTTAACAGTTCAGGTGAAATTTGGTCTGGTCTAATCACATATCTTGGGAGAACATTCTATTAAAAATCAAATGTCAGCCAATGAATTATTCTATGTTTACAACCTGTTGCCAAACTACTATTTACCACATGAAAACATAAAATATACAATTAGGTGCCACTTTGCAATAAAAGTGTTGATTTGATCACTTTACAAGCAGGTGTTTCTGAGTGGAAGGAATATGTGACTTCTAATTTAACTGACATTAGTCATTACCCACAAGTGCTGTACAATACGTGCACCAACATGTAAGCAGTATTTGTTTAAAAAATAACTTTAACAACTGGAGAAACCGTACCATACAGTACTGTTGACAGGGATGATAAAATCTATTCTTCTCTAAACAAGAAACAATATACTCAGGACACCATTTAGAAAAATTAACATCCAGGTGCTACAAACACTAGACAATTTAATTTACATCTGAATGCCTAATGAAGTTAACTTTCCTAAACGATGCAGAGTAAGTGGGGAATAGTTCTTTGTGAAACATTAGTGTTTCCTCCATATGAAGTGAATATCCTGGGGGCTTTTCCTTGGTTATTTATTTAGCCCAATTGTCAATGTGCATGAGCGGAAGGATGAACAACAACCACCACACGCATGGGTACCACCAGACAGATTTATAAATTATAGATAAGGGAACATATCCTTCTACTGTCTGGGAGACCTGCAACCACACACATCAGTCAAATGTGACAAACACCCAGCTTTTCATTTTCAGGCTCCAGTCATAAAGAATTACAATCTGTACCACATCTGCTGGTATAAAATGACCAGATTATGAAATATTGCTACGGCTACGTAGCTGTTCTCTCAGAAGAGTAACGATTTTTAAGGAGAATTTCATGATGACATGTGACCAAGTGTTGCAAATTCTTGACGAGTCAGTAGGAAAAAAAATTCTGTGACCTGTGTATGACCGCATCAGAAACAGATGGCAACTTGCAACAGAAACGCAGGGGAAGTCTAACAAAACTACAGACACAACAACCTGCTACATCTAATATTTACCTCCCATTTCTGTGCTCTTCTCACAGTTTGGTGTAAAATGTAGAAACACACGTCATGGTCAACAACCTCACACCAACAGTGACGTCAAACATGAACACACAACATGATAAGAACCAGGGCAAATCTTTCCTAAAGTCTAACCAGTGTACAGGAGAGATCTGCTTGGCTTAGGACTCCCTCAGTCTTCAGAATTAACATATCATCCATGTCAAGTCTAAGCAAACATTCCTAAAGGGTGACAGACTAGGTTGGAAATGTCTGGACTGAAAGGCTTTCTGCTAGCTGCAAAGACGACAAACGTATAATCAACCTCAGAGGAGTGGTTACAAAATCAATTGTTGGTAAACATGCAAAATTATTCATTCCAATCTTCAGAAACGCAGAGAGAATTTGACAGGGAAATTCAGAGCACATAAATGGTTGCCGCATGAAAATCCTTCACAGAAGAGAGAGTTTTACCTTGTCCCCAAGTTATTTACCTTGGATGACAGGAGACCAAGCCTAGCTACCTCACTCTGAAGGCTGAAACTATCCATATGGACAAATTTCAAACATCCATCAATGGATTTGACAATTGCCTCTTTAAAAATATTTTCCAAACAAAATCACCAGAATACTGTATTACTATTCATTGCATTGAGTATGCTGCTTTTTATTCGAAGAAGTAAAACAAAGAAAACTGTTATAATTGAATTCTTTAACTAATGTATTATCTAAATGTCAGAAACAAGAAACATGACTCATCATGGCACAAATAAGTGATTCAATAAAAAGTAATTACTGCTTGCAGAGGAAGGAGCACAGGCTGTTTTTCTTCACCAATTCAAGTTTGCTCCTCCCTGGGGAGACCTGGTGGTTCTGAGTTAACCTTGACCTGTGGCTGAGCCCAGCCCACAGCAGATAGAACACAGCTGTGATTCCCTGTACTGGGGATGGGGCCTGCCTACAGGGGCTTCACTAGCCTCCACCAGGCCTGTCTACAGGGCTTCACTAGCCTCCACCAGGCCTGCCTACAGGGCTTCACTACTCTCTAAGGGGTTGGGGACTGAAAAGCAGTACAAAATAGAGCAAATAATTTAGCATCTTATCGTGCCAGCCAACATGACCAGAACTCTAGAACTCTAGTTGGCCAACAATTATTTGCCCTGTTTGGCCAATTTTCAACCATTTCTTTTGAAGCCACCAAAGGAGTCTGGAAGAGACTACCTGGGCTACCCACAGACCAGATGTGTGAAGGGTTTGGACAAAGTGTAGTCAGCTGAGACAACCGACAACAGTTCCAGCACAGGGCCACCTGACCTTCTACCAGACACACTACTGCACAACAAACATGGTCTTGGACACAGCTCAACTGGAAACAACCCAAATAGCACTGGGCGGTACAGATAAAAACTGTGCACCACTCAAGTAGGAGACTACCAGACTCCTTCAGTTATTGAAAAAATTACCACCTACGGTTGCCAACAACTTTTTGGCTGTCCAACTTCTCAAATCATTCAACCTATTTGGACAATTTTAATGGTACTTACATTTCTGGCAACCTGATAAGTCTGGTAAAGGCTACTAGCTATCTTCAAAATGGAACTGAACACTGAGTTTATCAACTGGCAGGAGACCTGTGAGTGTTCACAGTCACACAGATCAGATAAGGATCATCTGGGTTGACTTTTCCATTGTCCATACTCAACACTTGCACATGTAGAAAGAACAGAATTCTTTCAATTTTCCTATAACGAAAAATCACACGCACACAGAACAAAACATAAGTAAGTTTGCTGGTGACATAATTAGTGTTCAGTTGTACACTTTCCCCCTTTCTGTTCAACAGGTTGGATCATGTAATGCTGGACAATTGTTCCATGCTGAGGCTTTCCTGTTATTGTTCAAAATAGGTCAACAGAAAGGTCAGTTGGAGTCAACCATTCTGAAAAACTAACAAAAACCCTGCTGTGATTCAGAGGGGGGCTGAGTTATAGAAACCCCAGCTCACACTTGTGACCCTACACATTCTTTCCTGTTCAGGGTATATTTTGAAAGCCTGGACCCACCACTTGTTGAAGCTGGGCCACTCCTAAACATTCCATTCACACTCACCCAGGAAGCTGGAATACTATGTTATGTAAGGAACTACACTGCTGAGATCACACAGGACAGAAATAAACAAAGATACCTTTTCTGAAGCATCAGGACTTCTCACTGTTATTTTCAACAAAACCCAGAAATTTTGATACCTCTTTCTGACAAAGATTGATGATGTACAACTTTGAAAATGACTTGGGTCAGCACAATTCCTTCTATCATTAGTATCAACACAGGTCAACTTTCAAGCTAGTAATTTACCTGTTCTCCTGGCATTTTGAGCTTCTCAGGCCACCAACTCCCAACCGACAAGCCCTTCTCCCTGCTCTGTTAACCCTAACTGTTGCTTTTGTGAAGCCAGACTGAGTGGAACAATTCAAACAGCTATGAATATTCATGATGACAGCTAACAGCCCCTCAGGATACATATCAGCATGACAAACAGATTAAAGTCTTGTGAAGTTTGGGGTCAGGAAAAAAAGAATCTTCCCAGCCCAGTGACAGAGAAGAAACAGGTGTTTTCACATGAGTTGAGTTGAGGGAGGGAGGGGGATATGACACTCATCATTACACACAATCAGCCATATAATAGCAGGGATTACTGTGAATAGCAGGAGGACTGGACAGGACTAGTAAAACACAATGATAAACTACTTTCTATACTTTACAACAGTGTGCTCAGAAAAGGTTGTACTATGAATGAGTCAATATCCTTCAGTTTGAACAAATCCGCATGAAAAATCTATAAATATTTATACTGTTGTAGTTTAGACAGGAATGGCACAAAAAATTATCTGACAGGGCCCCAGACTGTACTTTGAAGTTCCCGTCCGGTCGTAGTGTCCCTATCTGTGTTCTGTTCCAAGCCAGATAGTGTTCACTGTCCTTATCATGTCCAGAAGACACAACTCGGCGCTTCCTGCGCTGTGAACTGTCCAGCTCGATTTTTCTGATCTTCGATTTTTGTGACCTTGAATTCCGGGCCGGTTGGCTGACACAAGACAAACTTGGGCGGCCCGTCCCGGGAAATAAACAACTTCTAACCCTCATTACTAAGTACCTGGTCTGGTCGCATGTTTCTCTCCACTGACCGCCTTTCCTGTACGTCAAGTAGATGCGAATCTCCGGGACGAATCGAGCACGCGCGTCCGAATGTTCAAATGAAAACAAGAAAGGCCAGGAAGCGACCAAGACTTCCCCGGTATCGGGTTACTGCCGTGACCGCGTCGCGTGGGACCAACTGACTTCGGAGTTTTGTCCAGATAAAATCGATCGAAATCCTCTCACTACAACCTTTCGAACGGTGGCAGACCAAAGCACTGGAATGTACGGCACCAAACAATTGACTAAAACTGTGATCAAACGACTCGGGAATTCGCGAGCTAGCGCGAAGTGTGAGTCATCTTCCCCCCTCCCAGCCGTGACGGCTGCCATCTTGACAAAATTTTAAATCTCCCTCGGGCGCCAAAGCGTCCCTCACTTGCCGTGAAGTTTCTACGTCACTACGACCATTCCAGGCTGTACGCTTGACCATGAGAGGATTTTTCAGCAATTTCGTGCGAGTTTGAGAAGGTAGTAGGACTCACCTTTACGAGAATTGTCGAAAATATGCAAGAAATTCTTCAGGTCGTTGGACCCTACGCCATCTTGAAAGAGTTGTGTACACCCTACATCCGGGGCATTGTGCGACCGCAACAAGGGACCATGGGACAATCGCACTGCAGTTATGTCATTTATCGCTAGATGTCGCTATTGCAAGGCTACCTTTGGTGCATCGTTTGATGTTCACTCCCTGTGGTTGTTCACTGTGAAGTAGTCCCACCGAACAAGTCAAGGACATTGCGAGTAGTAGACATTGACAAAGTGTGCATATATACCAATGCACCAAAGAATACATAAATCAAGAAAGAAATATTTTTCCCCACAACAGAAGTAAATACTTAAGTTGATCTTCTAAAGATAACATTACAAATGCAACACACTCACTCACTATCTGGTTTATCGTCTGTTGTTCCCCGTCTTCCGAGCTGTCCATTAATGTTACACATGTACTTCCATTCAATAGCTTACCCACTTGGATTTAAATCCTACCACACATTTCCTTGACAACTAAAAAAGGATGTAAAAAGAAAAATATTTGCATTTTAATGGTAAAAATGATCCAAATCACACCTCTGACACCATTGTTCAAATATTGAAGTAAGCAGCAAGGACGAATTCAAATCATCATACTTTGGAACAGTTTAATATCAACAATATTTACATGTTTGTAAATGGGGGCTCTGGTCGCTACTGTTCTATAAGGTATCATGGAGGTCATCATACACGTGTAACATGCAACAGTTTAATACAGTACTTTTGTTGCACCATGTTTAAGTTCATATATACAATGTAGTATATAACGTGGTCTGCATCAACTAAGGGCTGTGAAACACAAGTTATGTACAAATAGGTAATGAATACAAACTATCTAAGGACATGATTGGTTAGAGCCATTTCACATCAGGGCATAACACTACCCTACATGTGTAGTCAGTTATTGAACTTTATCCAAACTTCAAAGTGGCTGTCCTTAAAAAACAGGAAACAGGACAAGCATCTCAATGTGACTTCCAAAGGACAGCCAGTGTAGAACTGGTACATTGCTATCCAGCATTCTGACATTAGGCAGGGATTGCCTTCCCTGACCCTGGAATTACTCTATAGCAAGAATCTTTACCACTACACTGCAGTGCACTGTACAGTGTAAAAGGTAAGCAGTTCTCCTTTGATGTGGAGAAGCATATTGATGCTGTCACATAACATCACATGTGCTACATCATGTCACATGATAATCTGAAACTGAAATTGTAAACTCGACTCAAAAGCTGAACAAAATTCATCTGAAGACAGAAAGTTTTCCAACTCCAACTGAGCTGACACAAGTGTTTTATCACTGTAGGTGTATTAGTATTTGATGGTAGACTCCACTGCAGGGAGATGATTAAAAATGGTGAAAATATGGCTTCAATTTATGAACAGTGTCTCTAGCTGAGCTACAATCCTAAGTAACTTACATGTACTAGTATCATCTTAGCCTGGGTACCATCCTACTTGTATGCCAAGGCTCCCACACTCGCTCCCCGGCATACAAGTAGGATGGTACCCAGGCTAGTATCATCTCTCTTTTTCACATAAATCTTTGCTCCATCCTTTGGTCACACTTTAAAGTCACAAACCAAGATTTTTTCACCCACAAGAAAACTCATTTCCTTCAGTGCTACTCAAGAGTGCAATAACAAAATATTGTTGGGTTCTAAAAATATGTCAGTAATGCCATCTCCACTGGACAGAGTAAAACATTGCTGTGATGACCGAGTACTAGTACTTCTGTGAGTGGTTATGCTCTGGTCATCACGAGGAGAGTGTTGGTACGTGTGTCACTTTGGTCTCATCTGCAAACTTCCTTTCACTGAAACAGACAAAGATTTCAGTTGTTATAGAATAGGAACATAAATGAGAACTACCGTCTATGATCTTGTGAATGTCTGGGAAAAGAAACTGCAATCTGGCTGGCCTACATTTGTACATGAACTGAACATTCAAGATAGCAGTTAAGACTGTTTCCTGTAGTTATTTCTCAGTTGAGACCCATATGAATAAATATTTTCAGGCATCATTTTAAAAACAAATCATAAAACACCTAATAACACTTAGTGCCATATTTAGAGTGACTAAAGCAATCATTTCAATTTCAAGACAAATTTTCACACTATGGCCTTCCCCTGCAGTACCCACCTGATGTGGCTGGAGGCGCTCCACTTGAATGCAGAGCGAGGTGGCAGGTTGGGGTGGCTGAAGACACAGTCTGGCCTGGTGCAGGACAGGCCGTAACGACACGGCTAAGAATAAAGAAAGAAACAGATAAATAAACAACATTGAACATTTAAAGGGCCCTAAATTTGATCCAGATCTCAAACTTCTACAAAACACACACAAAACAAAGAGACTCAATACTATACAAACAGGATACATGTAGTACAAGAGAAATACAAATGGGAGATCATATGTAGAGGACAGTACAGACCTTATACAGCAGATTTTGGTACAGACATTGACAAGACTTTGTTTTTTGTTAATGCTTTGGGCCATCCCAGAACTTTGTCTGACATTTTAGTAACATGTGAAGTATACAGATCAAGGATGACCAGATGGCACAGACGGTGACCAGACACAGACAAAGGCTACTCACTTTAAGGTGTGGGTAGTGAGTAGAGAAGGGAAGTCCCCAGAAGCCAGGAGAGGGGAACTGGGGACAGAGCAGACATACAGTACATGTGGTGTACTTACACGGAACATCCTGACTCGAGCTGGGCTCCAGTACACAGCTCAAACAACCAGGATAGGAAAGACGAAAACCATTTCTTTTTTTTTCCCTTTTGCTTCAGCATCACTAACACGTTGAGAAAAGTGACAGACTGTACTGAAAAAGTATTGTCATGGGTTTGAGAAAATGACTGTCAGTCTTACCTTGGGGTGTATGAATGGACAGTCTGTCCTGGTACAGTTAGGGTAGAACCTGCAGACTGGCTTGTTGGACTTGTTGGGTACTGGTGGGGTGGGGGGCGCAGGACTGGGGAAGGAGAAGGCAGGCTGGGACGGACCTGGGGAGGAACCATCATGTTACAATGTATATACTAATTTAGTAAATCAACTGAGAACAAAATTACACTGAGCACTTACTTTTACCTAGAGCAGATGAATGATTTCTGGATGACAATTTCATTTTTCTACAAGTTTGTTAATGTAACGCCATGTATGTGAAAGTCTTTTTAAAAGAGGCCATATGTAGAAATATGTAAAAACCAAGCCGTGCTTACTGGAGTAGAATGGAGTGGCTGCAGCTGCAGCTGGACTAATCTGCCTGCGGCTGGCGTGGGTGAAGGGACAGTCCTTCCGTGTGCACCTGGCATCAAACTTACAGTTGGGGTGGATGAACAGACACTTCTCCCCAAACTTACAGCTCGGGAAGTTCCTGGGAAACAACAAGGTGTGAATTAGCAATCACATAATCACACACACACACACACACACACACACACACACACACACACACACACACCACACGCACACACACAGACAAGCCAAAAACAATGCTCCAAAACCTGTAGTGAACACTAGAGGAATTGAGGAAGACAATGGCCAAAGGTAACAGGTAAAAATCATGTACACATGTATGTAGATGTGGTAACTAGAACAGGTTTGACTATGTTGAAGTTATCACAATGATGAGAGTTAGAGTGGGTTACCTGCAGGGAGTGTTGGGATGGATGAAGGGACACTCGTCTCCGTTCTTGCATGCCGGCCAGAAGTGGCAGCGCTCGTTCTTCTTCTCCACACCAGCCTCACCAGGTGACACGTCCATCTCTTCTGCAGGTCAAACACAGAATTCTGTCAGTTGGAAATATCCACGGTGGTGGCAGGTTGCTCCACCGGGAAGTCATGACACCAAGAATATGAAATAAATCAATAAACAAAACAGAGTTGACCCCACGTACCATCAGAGTCATCCAAGGTGAAGGTGACCTGCTGTACGTTGCCATGGCTACCAGGTAATGTCCGCTGCACCCTGGGAGGAGCCAGACCGGGCGACACTCTCATCCTCTTGGAGGGGACCTGTGTGTGTGGAAGGATATGTGTCTATGGACTTATTACAGCTATATGTATGATGATATGGGTGTATTTGGAGGGCTTAAATCAGGTAACCTGTATCTTGTTTTGATGTTGTTTGACCCTGATTTTTGTCTTCCCTCATGACGGCAATTAAAAGCAGCCAGCAGACAGATTTGAGTATTTCATGAATAAACGCTTCAAACAAACAAACCTCCGGTTCGGACGGCCCACTCCCCTCCCCAGCCTCATCATCCGCCTCGTCCCCCGAGCTGCCTCGCCCCGGCGGGGGGTCCACTCCGTCCAGCGTCACGATGAACTTAGGGCTGGCCGGACGCTTCTTGGGCAGCTCCCTGATTGGTTATGGAAAAATGGAGTCGATAATGATAATTTTCATTTGCAAACTAGTGCCCGAAGCATCACACACCATCTGATCTTTCTACACACATTACTAAGAGGTGGTAGTGACTAGTGCTTTTGATGCAGTGGCTACTGAACAGTTTGGAGTTGGTAGATTATTGTGATATCAAGTCCAGTTGCTGTCTTTTCATCTACATGCATGAATTTGGATACCTTTTGTAGGGATACTGGACCTAATGCTGCAGAGACAGCTCAAGCTTTCATCTGATGTTTGCTTTGTTCCTTACAGAATATACAATGTACTTCAGTAGTTCCTATTGCCGTGATATATATAAGTGTGCTTTTATTGATGACAACAGATTGAAGATAGTGAAGAGTGAAAGAAGTTAAGACAAAAACAAAAGGACAGGAGTGCCAGACTATCAGGAAAGACAACAGAACAAATTACAACAGAACATAAAAAAGACAGCAGAAAATGATGAACAATGCCGACACATCAGGACATTTTTGAGCCCCAGACTCATTCAATCTGCGCGTGCTGCTTTTTGTATCATTTTTGGGCAGTTATTTTGCAAAACTGTCAAAAGAACAAAAAAAACAAGAAACCTCTGATTTAAAGATGCAACAAATACAGAGGAAACAGCAAACAAAACAAGTACAGATTGCAATCCTGAAAATATACATGTAAACCTCCCCTTTTGGTATTTTTGTTTTTGGTATTTTTCTTTTATACCAGTAAGGCCATGTTGATTTGATTATATGGATGACATCCTCCGGGAGCCCCAAAACTGATGCGCGCGTGCGA